TTGACTTTACCATTTTTACTGACCATAAACCCTTAAAAGCTCTGTTTACAGCCGAAAATAAAAACCCACGTATTCAGCGTTTGAGTATTATGCTTAAGGAAATGCAGTGTGATATCAAGTATATGCCAGGTTCGAAAAACTGCCAAGCTGATTTTTTGTCTCGAATTCGATCCAAAAACACTAATCCACAATTCGACAAAGACTTATTCGTTATTGACACGGATAACCCGGCCCATGACGTATTGCCTGACGATTTTACTGCAAACGACTTTGATTCCGACGATGAGCATGATGAACGAACAGCAAGATTAGAATTGACATTTCCCAGAAAAATTCAATCGGAAGACTCAGACATTCGCAAACTGCGAAAAGCTTTGGAATCTAAAACAGACGACAAATCCTTAGATGATTATGTTCTTTTTTCTGGTGTTGTTTATCACATATCCCGGCCAGTTCAAAATGATAAAACCCAACGTCTACAATTAATAATCCCTGATTCTTTCAAAGTAAAAATTTTTCAAGATTTTCACGAATCACCATTTGGATCTCATACCGGCATTGATAAGCTTTACGATAAAGTTAGGAGTAGATATTTCTGGAAAAACATGTACAAAGATGTTGTCACTTTCATTCAAACCTGTGTCAAATGTACCACTCGAAAATTAAAAAAAGCACAGAGCTGAAATTCAGGAAATGCCTAAACCGGAATACCCTTTCGAAATTATCGGAATCGATCACGTAGGACCATTACCAGTGTCGGATAATGGTAACAAATATATTTTATCTGTCGTATAGATCATTTTAGTTCATGGGTCCAATTATTTACTTTACCTCGACCTAAATTTAACACTTAGACTGTTAATCCGACTGTGTCATTTGCGGATTCAGTAGATTCAGATGCAGATTTCGATTCTGAAGACGATATACCCTTAGCACGTGTTTAACATACTTTAGAAATTCATGAAGAACCATCTTCTTATAACTATTTTTACGATCCTCCCACTGATTATGATAGCTCCGATTCCAAAGCGTCCTTTTATATTTAATAATGTTGTAAACTCTACATGGTAGAGAAATAGAATGAACTCTCATGGTAGAGAAATGTTGTAACTTCTACAGGGTAGAGCAACAGATTACGGAAGTCTAATTATTTGCGACCAGTTGTTCTATGGTTCAGCTTTATCAATTCGGAAGTTCCGTTTGATTCCCTTAACAATAGCCTTATCGTAGGATTTGGTGTGATTAAGAAAGTTAAAAAGGATCATTTAACGTTGTGTTAATTACTGCCGGTTAGTTTGTTTAGCTCATTTAAGTTGACTTCATTGTGTAGTACAATCATTGAGTAGACATGTATAGATAGTAGTGTAGATTTTAGATAAGTTCCTTAGTCACTATAGTTTGTCGTATCATTTTGTGTAAATAGTTTTATTAGTACATACGTTGTCCAAGAGAAATTCTCCCTGGTCTCTAAGCATATAATGACAGTTGCTTACTCAAAATAATCAAAACTTTAATGCCAATCGTATTCATAGCAAACTGAAACCGACACGTACATTACAGGTACTATACTCTTCGCCCACTGGGCGAGATGATATTTTTTCTAATTTCGGATCAGAAAAGCAGAAGATTCCCTTCCACGAACCCACATAACGACGACCATTGTGTATATTCTATATTCGGAAATCGGAACTCATCCTGCGTGTATATAATTTTTTTCGTGTGAATAAGTTTATAGTCATGTGTGCATATTCTTGTTTTGGAAATAGGTGATGATCGCGAAATCATCATGTGTGAAATATTTTTTTATTTTGTTTCAACCGTAGTGACATTTTCTGAACATTTCTTTCTTTTCACACGTTTGCAAGTGCATGCTATATTTTCGTTATTTTTGTTTTCACCTATTCATTTATTTTTTTGATATCTTTTAATTCTTCTTTTATTGTTGATTTTGCATGTTGGTTTTTATTCAAGAAAATCATCATGATGTATTTTCTACGTTAAGGGAGAAACTTATGTAGCCTTGTTTAGTGTAATCTTATATCCAAACTAATTTCCACGGGTTAACAAAGAATTGCCTTATGCCTTAAGTAGTTTTCAGAAGTAATAAGTATCAAGATTCCAGAGACAAGAGCGTACATACTAAGCTGTCATTCACATGTCATGGTATTACAATAGGGAGTTGCACAAAGAAATAGTCAAGGGTTTATAAGGGTAGATTAAATTGGGAGTCATAGACAATGGGGTTTCAGACAATATGTTTACAAACGTCTGACCACTATCAGCATGGGGGATGAACAATAGGCTTTTGCAAAACAATGGATTTTATAGACAATAGGTGAACAGCATATAGGTCGGGAGAATTTGGGATAGAAATCATTCACTACTTGCTTAGGAGAGAGGTAACATCATAGGTTAATTGGAAGAGGGGAATACTTAGGTAGAATATCCCGATTCAGTTTATACTCTAAGTTTGTGATTTGTAAATAAAGTGTTTGTTAATATTGTTAGTATTAGTATCCATTGAAGAAAGATTTCCATGTCCAGTTTCTTACAAACTATTATACAGTTTGTAAGATTAATCTAGCTTGCATTCTGCAAGGAGATACACATCAAGAAAATAGCTTACAGCTACCATTACAGTTCCAGTTGGCTAACAACTACGTTACCGCGTTGCAAGAGTGAAAGAACTGAAATTTATACCCGTGAAATGTTTGTTTCATTGATTGTTAAAGGTACATTGCAGATTCGCCGACCGTTTGAACAAATGTTCTGTAATCTCAGAAACGGGAATTATTTGGGTTTAACTAATCAATAATGGTGACCAATGCTCGCCGCCGAAATCTTAGCCTTCAAATGTATATGTGTATAGTTTGAGATACTGATTGGAAAGTTTAGAATTCCAAGTTTGAGGTATTTTTGAAGAAAGTATACGATTTTTGTACATTTCTAATCTACCCCAAAATTGACGAATCTGTCCTTTTAATATAGCGTCGTATAAATTGATTGAAATATGTATATGAATGTTAAATTAGATTGTTGCATCTGTCCACTATTCACTTTTAGTCTTAATAACGAATTATTCATCCATAAAGATATCACCAGACCAATATTACACGTCTTATCTCAGTCAGTCATGAAATACTTTTTCATTGTGGATATAAAACGTTATTTTACTTAGGCTACAAATATGCATTTTCTGTGAATTTTTTATTCTTTTTATTTTAAACAGATGTGAATGGTTTATTTGTACTATAATATTATAGGCGACAGATAATAGACAATCTTAATGCGACTGGAAAACCGGGAAGGGGTTTTTCTTCAATGGTGCAAATGAGACAAACGGGGCTGTTGTCTAAGTAAAGTAAAAAGTCTTTTGGTTTTTTGTCTATATTTTTTTTTAATAAAATTAATATCAACCTCAAAATAGTATTTTTAGTCTTATAATGCCTTTATGTGATAACAATACATGTAATTACTTGTAAGTTGATAGCGGATTGCTATATGGAGAGGAGCTTATTCGACTCTACAGTGGGTGGAGTATGTGATGGAAATAACAAGCATTCTAAGTAAAACTTTACATACAAGTAATTACAAATCAGAGTACATAAATAAATCTGTCGTTCGTTCATAGCTACCAAATCTGTTGTTTCGAACTGTTACTTGACAAGTTAAAGTTCGCTTCCAGCGGATGCCGATATCGCAAACTAGGTAGTTGTTGTTAGTCGTAATAATTGGTAGTCGTAACAGTTGGTAATTGGATTGGTTCAAATTGGACGATTCTGTGTTGTTGGTTTGGTTGTTGAAACTTCGTTAGATCTGGTCGGGACGAATGACATGGCGGCGAAACTCGGCCCTTGTTGGTGTTGCCTGAGTTACTCGGTCTTCTTCATTCTTCTTCTTCGTTCTGATCATGGTAATTCTTGTTGGTAGTCGAATGGTAGTCGTTGGCTTGGTAAGGTTTGGTTAGATTATCTGATAAATATATATAGATACAGCTTAATGGAACAACGATCAATGGTTAAAGTTTGATGCAACGTTTCGACGTGTTTCCCCCGTCGTCCTCAGGCACATAATAAGAAGTGATGGGCAAACTATAAATACATTAATGCTTACATGTTTGAATTAGTTTACCCTCATTCTTTTCAAGCTTGTTTATGAGTTATTTGCTACATCTCCATATTGATGACGAATAATGTCTTTGAATGGCCTTTAACAATTGTGATCACGATATATAGACACAGCTTTATGGAACAACAATCATTGGTTAAAGTTTTATGGAACGTTTCGACGTGTTTCCCCCAGGCACACAATGACAAGTAGTGATGGGCAAACTATATATACATTAATACTTAGATGTGTGAATTAGTTTACCCTCACTTTTTTCAAGCTTGTTTATGAGTTTATTTGCTACATCTCCAGATGACTTTATCTGATAACTGTTGAAAAGATAGCTTGCCAGGCAAGGTAATATACGTCCACTGGCAGCTTTGATTTTTTAATAAAAATATTTAGCAGTAACCAGTACGAAATATTCAACCTTCAGTCATACACTTCTTCTGAACTCTTTAGAGTGATACTGAATAATATTGAGTATGATTTATTGCCCTTGTTCTTGAAAACGTGTTCAATTTTTAGCTCGTGAAATTTTTTGAAGGCAAATATTCAATCTTCAGCGCGGGACTGAATAATAGAACCAAGTTTTGTCAAATCCAGCAAGAATCATGCCTTTGAGAGCTAAATTTGAAAGCGTTTTCAAAAACAAAAGCAATATCTCATACTAAATATTTTTGATTGTTCTAATTTTCAATAGGGTTCATCCTTGGGTGATTACGAACACTCATACCAAGATTTGTCGAAATTCGTCAAGAATTGTGTCTTGTAGAGTGTATACGAACGGACCGTCGGACGGACGGACGGACATGGGTGACGGCAATATTCCCCCCCCCCCCCATTTCATGTGGGCGTATAATCATGGAAGACATGACAAAAAGGAAAAAAGAATGTCTCGTAGTGCGTGCGGTGTCTGGTTACCAGTTTGCAGATGGCTACAGATGGATGGTTGTCGAACTGTACGCGTAGTAGTAGCTGCTGATTGGTGGAACTCACACGTGCATTCATAACATGCATTTGGCCTCGTTCTGATTCAAGTCTACTTGAATCAACGGAGCTTACCCATGTTGAAATGGAAGTTGTTGTACAATCAACTGGATAATCAAGATCAATTCTCGTAACAATTTTACACTGGAAAGAAACACATTTCTCTCCTAGAAATTTCGACCAAAAAAGTTTTGAATTTCAGCTATAAACTAAAGGTACAGTGGTGTAACCTATTTTCGTGTATATAACGATTCAACACCGAATTTCGTCAAAGTTAAAAAAAACGAAAAAAAATATATTTTTATGTCTTAGATGTTTCCTCAGATATTCTACAAAATAATTAAAATTGGTTTATTTCGATTTTCTTCATGAATCCTTCACTTTGACCCATATTTCATGAGCAACCAACTCGTGAACTGCGGCAGAATGCGTCACCTATTTTTGTGTACAATGTTTGATCTATAAATAAGTCTAGAAAAACACGTTGTATGGATACCGGGTGGTATAATTAACTTCTCTTAGTATTTATCTTTAATATCAATTCATTATAACCAGTGACAATTCCTTCAAAGAACCACGATTTAAAAAAAAAATAGTGACTGACAAAATATGATACGTAGCGTGATTTATTGCTAAAAGTCACTGAAACAACATAAGAATATGGTCCACTTTGTGTTCCATAGAAATTTTCTGCTGACACGGAATCCGCTTGTTGATCACGTGACTTCATTCGTTGTATTATATTTTAGCAGACGACACTTGGAATTTTCAAAAAATTTATTAATAAAGTTTGTCGACTAAGGTATTATTCTATTTCGGGGAAGGGAGGGTTTGATTGAAACTATGCCGCATCATAAACTGTTCAATGGTTTGATCAGATCTTCTGGGTAAAGTATCCTTTTCTTTTTGTTCTAAAGGTGATTTCTTAAGTTTCTAGTAGTTTTCAACAGTTGCCAATAGTTTCTAATGTCTCTAAGCATATATTAACAAGTAAAAATATGAAAGTAAATGTTTTACAGTGATATATAGAGTGGTAGGTGTCTATGACGATTAGTAAAAGTAATAATCACACATCTGCTTAGAAATATAGGGTTAACAAGGTTGGCCGGGGCATGAAACATAAGATTAGAATATGGTTGCCCCAACCCCCACCATCTCTCCGAGTTGAATGCTCGTTTAAGATTTCATCAGAAGTTTGTTTGTTTGTTTATTGTTTTGTTTTTTGTTTGCGTTTGCTTCTGTGTGTATATTTAATGCATAAGAAATATGTATTTGAAAAAAGGTGTCTTTCTGATATATATCTTAAAGGGACATATGCGCCAATTTTTATCACCAATCGTACCTTAGTCACAGAAACAGGAATTATTTTAGCTAAGCTGATCAGTAATAGAGTTCACATCTCACCATCGAAATTTAAGCCTTAAAATCCAATTTCCGTGTTTGAAAGTTTAAATGACGACTCGTCAATTAGTAAAATTTTGTCATATATTGAAAATACATATATAGAAATAGAAAGTGAAACTCCTAGATAAAGGTATTTTTGAAGGAATTATGCTATTTAAGTCCATTTCTAGTATTTATCAAAACTATCGTATATTCATTTATTCAAGACCCAAATTAACCCCCGAAATAGCGAATCTGTGCTATTTTAGTCTTGACAAAGTATCTATTATAATACAATGAGATAAAAATGGAAATGGTGACCATTTTGGATTTCGAAAAGATTTTTTTAGCTTCTTGTGTATTTCGAAATTTAACAGTAATTATTTATGGAGTGTCTGAGGCATATATTTACATGCATTTTGTACGCGTCAAATATGAGCACCCGAGACCCAAACTTCAGGAGGCTGTATAAAATTTTCCACAAGCTAGAACCATGGGGAAATCTGATAGTTCTATCTGCATTTGGCAATCATTAGCAGTTTCCGTAAAGCTGAACCTGACTCGTTAATGAATGGAAAATTTCGTTGTCGCTGGCAAAGTGTTGTGTCTTCTTTGAGACTCTTTACTTCCGGTATTTAACAGTGATCAAGTAATATTAAGATCTAAATATAGTCCATAAATTCAGAGCCTTTGGGTGATAAACCTGTCACTAACTGAAGGTGGGTTTCCTTATTTTTTAGTGTCAAATTAAGCAAACTATTTGACTAATTGGTGTTTCAAATGAATTATCATGTATTCTTAATTATATCATTAAAAGTTTAACCAAACATTAATGTCCATGTATATACAGCCTGGATGAACAAAAAAAAGACTTTTTGACCTTTAACAGTGATTTGACACTAACGAATTTTCATAAATGAAAATAAAGGAATCCATCTTTAATGCTATTAATTCACCAATTATACATTTTATTTATTCAGTTTGAATCCATAGGCACTATCTTACGAAGTTCTTGTTTTCATTGTCTTTGTTTACTCTTAGTCCTGAACGACCAGTCTCTCATTCTTAAATTACCAGAATCACGTGATTATGTGACATAAATGGAACAGTAACTTTCAATACTATGATAAGTTGCAGAGCGGCAATTGTAACTTTTACGATAGTCCGTTTGTATAAGCAGATAAATTATAAACAGTGACGTCATTTTTAGGTTCCTTCAAAGGCACTGACGTCATCTTCTTTTAAATGTCAAATTTGGACCATTTCTGGTGAAGGGATTTTGGTAATTTTTTGTATGTTGTTCTGCACACCTTGTAGTACAAAATAATACCATAAAACAATTTCTTGCAATTGTTTGGGAGTAATACTCTATTATTATTTTTTTGCATTATAACTGTGTTGGAAAAAAAATCCAAATCCTTACAAGACGATTCATTACGAATAAATTATAAAGATAGCTTGCTATCGTCATGCTTCCTCGGGGCCGTGGTAATTTTAGGGAGAAAAATTACGTATTCATAGCTAGATATTGTCCAATCAAAATTGACGCAAATTTCAACTGTTATGACGCTTTGTTTGCGAACGAAAGCAGTGTGCCTTTACATATTTTGATGAATACACAGTACAGCATTTAGTAAGATTTTCGTTAAAGAATTGAAGCCGGGGGAAAATCAAACCTTTCTTTAGAATATTTACGTTGAACAAATGTGTTCTTATCTCTTTAAACAGGCGGCGGCAACGCGGTCTTGTGTTTTGTGTCATTTCAACGCCCCCAAAGTGTAGTGGGCTTTAATACGGGTAAATAGGACCATATAAGATCGTGTCAAAACCCGTATTCGTGATACGATGGCCCACTGACAGTTGTCAGATAATGACGACATAAATGATTGTATTAACTGATAGAATATATAGAATAATTATGTTATTTATATGTTGTAGAGAAATGTTTTAATGGAAAGAGTGCCTAAAGATGGTGTTGATGGTAACAATAGATTGAAAGTTGCTCCAATTAAAAAACCAGGTAGATTAGCCCCCTGTATTCCTGTTTGAAGCAAAGCTGATATCACCTGTGCGTGATCTCTGATTGTTGTGATTCCTGGGTTTGTTTTGGTAGCTCAGTGAGTAAGGATCATGTTCACTAACCAGGGTTCAGGGTGCATTCTAGTACCCAGATAGATACAAGTCATTTTTATTTGCCCACATCTCTTTTAAATTGATGTAGGCCTATTTCTGCATACTTACTAAAACATGAACCGCCTAGAAAATGACTAGGAATCGAGCAGAGAAACGAATAGGGAGCAATCTCAAACTATATAAAGATAAATTCTAAGAAAGCTAATTAGGCCTAAGAACAATGTAGAGGAATGGAGCTTCCGTTCATAAGCTTTGCTACCTTTATCATGTTTTTAAGACGAAATTTAGTACAATATTTGTTGACTTTATGCAACTCAATGTATCACAGTGTCTCTTGAAACTTCACGACACTATGTAACAATATATTAACAATTGCTACAAACATAGGATATAAAATATCTGAAAACAGTATCCGCTCATTTTGGTTGTTTTATTTGTTTATATCTCCTTTTTATACGCCCACATGAATATGTGGTCGTATATTGTCGTTGCCCTCCGTCGGTCCGTCGGTCCGTCCGTCAACATTTCTTGTGAGCACTATAGAGACTACAGTTTTTATCTGATTTTGATAAAACTTGGTGTGATGCTTTAGATCTCGGTCATGTTCGAATTTGACATATTTTCGATGAACGGTTTTTGAGATATTGCCCTTGACTTAAAACGCCTTTAAATTTGTTAAAAATATTTCGTGAGCAGGATTGAAGCTACAGTTTTCATCCGATTCTGATGAAACTTGGTGTGATCATTGGAATTAATAAGATCTCGGACAAGTTCTAACTTAAGGCATTTTCAATGAATGCTTTCGGAGTTATTGCCCTTGACTTTGTAAAACGCTTCAAAATTTGTTTGTGAGCACAATAGAAGCTACAGTTTTCAACCGATTTTGATGAAACTTGGTGTGATCATTGGAATTGATAAGATCTCGGACAAGTTCCAACTTAAGGCATTTTCAATGAATGCTTTCGGAGTTATTGCCCTTCATTTTGTAAAACGCTTCAAAACTTATTTGTGAGCATAATAGAAGCTACAGTTTTCACCGATTTTGATGAAACATGGTGTGATGAATGGAATTGATAAGATCTCGGACAAATTCTAACTTGACGCATTTTCGATGAACGGTTTTTTAGTTATTGCCCTTGACTTGTGAAAAACGTGTCAAAATTTGTTTGTGAGCACAATGGACGCTACAGTTTTCAACCGATTTTGATGAAACTTGGTGTGATCATTGGAATTGATAAGATCTCGGACAAGTTCTAACTTGAGATATATTTTATGAACTTTTTTTGAGTTATTGCCCTTGACTTTGTAAACACGCGTCAAAAGTTGTTTTTTGCCCTTGATTAGAGCTGTGTGATTTAATTGTTTGTTGTATTTGGGTTATTGATATTGATTTTAAACATTTTGTGGAATTACTCAGAATAAATAACTGGCATATATATATGTAATTGAATTCAAACTAATAAAATTTCTTCAATATGAGACAATTCATACTTTAGTCCCTAAAGACTGTTTTATCATTTCTGCCAGTGGGCGTATGTTACCTTGCCTCGCAAGCTATCTTTTTAGATTTAGGTACAGAGAAGGAGGAAGAAACTGGAACAACGGTACTTATATTGTCCTATTTCAATAGTATTAGTTTTATTTCAATAAAATCTACATGTTCTAATGAGAAATTGATGAATATTCAGTTTTGACTATTAAATTCATTATTGTATAAAGATCATTGGATTTGAGCAAAAAAAAAAAAAAAAAATACTACAAAAAGTACATGTAGAATTATTTTGTGCTCAATTAGATTTCAGTTCATGGAGTAACTCGGTTTATTTTGGGGGTTTTGTATGGGTCATAGTAAGCTTATGACAAGAAATCAATATTTGACCATTCTGTTTTTCATTTGTAGATTGATATTTCTAAATATAAAAAGAATGGAAAATGGACAATATTACCATTATCTGTAATACCCAAACTTAGCTTGCCTGATTTATCTACTATTTATCATCAGTAAGTTAAATATATTTAGCATAATTAAAGTTGGTAAACTCCTGAAGTCATTCAACCCAACAATTTGGTCAACGTTTTTACTCAGACCTTATAAAAGCCATTTCGCCCCTAAATTATTCCCTTTCCGTCCCTTCTCCGTTTCGACCCTTTCCCATACCGCCCCTTGATATTTTGCCAACAATTTCATTTTTGGTCAAACCACCGGACCATATGCACCCGAATCGGTCTATGAAGTTTAGTATTTTAATTTGAAATATTTATAGGTTACTTTCTTTGTTTGCTGCCATGTTAAGTGCTGCCTTATTTATTGTATGACAAGGTTATGCCTTATAGTTTTTCAAACAATCAATTCCTGGTTCATTCAAAATGGACGTCCTCGCATGTCTTTTTGAGAATATGGTATAACTATAATAATATTCTTGGAAATATGTATTGAGAAGAGGTATATATTGCTTAGTATCCATTTATTGTTATCGTTTCCATGGTAATTTATATCCATTTCCCTGCAAAACCGGCACAAATTCTTTCGGTGCAAGTATGAATTTTTAGTTTTCGTTTTGGCGTACGTAGGAAAGGCCTTAACATGGAAATAATACACACGAACGTGGTGATTCATTTTAACCTGATTCACCATAGTTGACAGTTGTTGCGTGTCTTATCCCTTGTGGCTCATCTTACTTGAGATGATTTACCCCAGACGAGAGTATATTTCAATTAAGTCTTCAAATCACATGTGAATTGACAAAAAAAAAGAATAAAATGTCACAAATAATAATCCTTAAATGATTTGCATAGGCCATTTAGTAACGAATAGTCTTATTTTCAAGCACAATTTACATAACACTGTATGGACTGAATTCTAGCAATTTAAAACAACCCTATGTGTTATCATTTTATTATCGTAGATATTTAGACCAAAATATACAATATGAGTGTAAAGATAGACTGAGAATGGGTAACATAACTGATGGTGGATGGGATGTTTGTGCAGATGAACCTTACAGACCAACTAAAGATGGTTTCGTTTATTCTTTTGGGTAAGCTTTTTCTTTTTCTAAATAAGTGTTGTTGACTGACTTGTAAACACTTGAGCTGCAGTTATTAGCTTCCACTTCCTCCCGATATTTGGAAACCGATATTTGATTATGAGAAATGAATTCTGATTTGATGATTAATTATTAATAACTAATCAACAGCGATTTCACAAACGTTCCTCCGGAAGTGAAGAGTTGTAGGTCCGTAGTTCAAATTACTCTGTTCCCGCAGAAATCACGGCATGTATTTTTTAACTCGGAAATTCTTAAATTTGATGTTAAGAATAGTTTCTCTGTCGCCAGGTCGATACAAATCGACAAGTGTACTTTGCAGCATTGACATATGCATTTTGAAATGACGACATTGTTATTTTAACGACAGTCGACAATTTTGGCAACGTTATACCTCCATACGCGGTATAGAAAGTATACAAAGGACATACATGCTTACACAATGTTTACACATTGAAATCAAACTTACGTAAACTTTTTGAATAGTTTTGGCGTTCATAAATTAAAGGCTGGTTTTTTTCTAAGTAAAACTCTAAGATACGTTAATGGACATATTTCTCTATATAATCGTGTATAGTTTTGACAAATTTGGACAAAAGAAAATTTCGACCTAGATAAAAAGCGGAATGCCCGGTGTTCGGCCTGGTTATCGTGCCTAAAATTCATCGCAAAATAGTTTGGGGTCCTTTCCTGGTCGTTTTTCTGCACGGTTCCTGATCGCGTTTTCTTTGGTCGTTTCCTAGTCGTTTCTGGTCGATTTATGGTTTTTATTAAGTAGCCTATGCATACCATGGTTAAGAATATGAATCAGACCAATGGATCCAATGACTTGAAGTGAATTGATTTCAAGCATTTTGGTATATATAATATTATGAATTATAAGTGGTTACTAAATTATATTTTTACTTGGTTTGTCGTTTTTATTTCAGAATTAATAATGATTTTAGTTTTGATGATGCTATTTCTAAAAAATATAATATTCCAGTATTTTCCTTTGATCCTAGGTATGTGTTATGAGTTTATTTCTTTAAAAAGTCCATCTGATTTAGTGAAGAAGAATCTTCAGAGGGGGAAACATTTATCGAATTTGTTGTGTAATTAATGACTAACGCTATTCAGATTTTTCGCAAGAAAGTTGCACACTCTTCCATGTTTGCTCCCATGTGCTAGTCAAGACAACTTAGATTAATGGACCTAATTCTGACCAATGTAAATTAAAGATTTTATGATATAATTATTGAATTTTGCTCACCAACTGTTTATGGATACTGTTGCATTGAGGGACAAGTTTAATGTTCCATCCATGCTACTAAACTTATACAATTAGTTAGTATAAAAGCAAAAAACCATTTTGTGAAATGGTTCCTCCGACAAATTCCGACACTCCGACAAGACATTTGAGACTTGATATTCGCGAATTGAAAAGCACGTTTTTATCACGCGGGCTGCAATAAAAAGTGGGAATGATTTTATTACGTATGAAAAAACGAAACAATAAATAAATCATTTTTCAACATCTATCGTTTGTCTTTTGACAGAAAATGTTTAGAAAGTATGCGCGCTATAGTATGTTTCGGACTATTCTGACCTCTCAAAGCAGAGAGCAGAATTATTGCCCGAAATGTTCCTCCTGACCTTTAGGCCTAACCACTTATTATTTCAGTCTGTGAAATATCATTTATCTCATACGACACTTGATCGATATGAGGACCAGTGTTTATAAAATACAATTCTGCGGAAATATGAAGTCCACGTTCCGATGGTAAATTCGAAAATGCAGTCGCCGACAAAATCTCAAAAAAAAAAAAAAAAACAATAACATGGCGCGCTTACTATTATTTACTTTGGAACTCGCCCAGTTGGATAGCTAAACATTTGCTGATTTTCTGTCAAAAGACATACGATAAATGTTGAAAAATGATTTATTTATTGTTTCGTTTCTTCATACGTAATATCAACATTCCAAATTTTTATTGCAGCCTGCGTTATAAAAACGTGCTTTTCATTTCGCGAATATCAAGTCTCCAATGTCTTGTCGGAGTGCCGGAGTCTGTCGGAGGAACCATGACACCGGAGACAAGAATTGCTTATAGTCTGACTTAAGAAAATAAACATCCATATTTTACCTGGATAAAAATTATTCCAATTTATAGTTGGTGTGAATATTGGGGGAAGCTAACTTATTGACTCACTAAGGAAGATATATACAATTATAGAGTGAATCCATCAAACTGACTCAGATAATTCATTTCTGATTGCATTGCAAATTGTTTTTCTCTTAAAGCATGAATACAAAAGCTCACAATAGAAGTAACTTAGTTCATTTTATACCTATTGGTATAGCAGGAACTAATAAGGTCATAAACAATGGATGGAAGGTTTTACCATTGAGTGATATTTTAAAGGATCTTGGCCATAAAAAAGTAAGTTGAAAATAGTCAACTGCGCATGGAATGCAAAAGCGAAAAAAATGAACTAGAAAAAATCGAAGAAAATCAGAACTAATTGGGACGGGAATAATATCATACATACCGCTCGCAGTTGTCACGTCAGTCACCACAAGGTTTCCGTTTGAAATTTCAGAATGTATTTGGTCTTCGACGAGCGCACTAAATTGCTTGCACGATAATTGTTCATTTCAACTGGAGTCAGAGTAACATCCGGTGACAACAGTTTTAAAGCCGTATTGTACACCTTCTCAAATAAATCGATAAATCTGGATAATCGACGTGCCCAAGCATCATAATTTAGGCCGGATCTTACCGGATATTACCTCTCACTCATTTATTAGTTTTTTGAATGATGGACCAAACTATGCTCTAAAAAGCATGTTGAGTACACACGGGCAAGTTTGCAGTTGTTGTACTGCCCAGGATTTGAAAAGTAGGAATCAATTGAATTTCTTGATGCTGAGATTTCGGTATTCTCTATCGAATAATATTACACTTCCTTTGATATATCTGCTGAATATCCTATTGGCCTACGTGCAGTG